CCTTAAGGGCTGACACAGCACTCTGTAGTCATTGTCAGGTGAGTACATGACTTGTCCTTCAACTCAGACAGAATCACAGGCTACACAGATGTCATGGGGGTCACTTTTCCTCCATCAGGGCCTGGAAGACTATAAACCGTCCCCTCTTGGTATTCACTGAAGGTACAGAAATGAATTTTCTGGGATGGAGGGTGTTCTAGCCTGCAGCCTTTTGAATATATTTTTTCAGCTTTAATTTCGCTTCTTAGTGATTTTGCAAAAAGGGAAAAAGCTTTATAAAGTTTCAATAGTGGAATAACAATGAAAGGGTGCGTGTGTGTCTGTTGAGAAAACCTACACATGATGTGTCCTTATTGGCAGAAGGAAAGGAGGGATACTAGAAACGTAATCTTTTCTCAAATACATTTCATTAAAATGTAATTAATAAATGATTCACAGCAAACACAGCAAATAACAGGTGACTTGGATGTTCTTCATAGCACTGCTTTTCCATTTTCCAGGGATGTGAGTAAATATTATTAACCCATTTTGCACCCTGGGACACTGAGAAATTACACAAAGTCATACACAAGTTCTGTGAAAGGACTAGAAATATAAAAGACAGGCCACCATTTGCTCAAATGTGCGCTTTCTCCAGCTGCCTCCAAATCCCAGGTATTCCTGTTCTCATTTATAACTGATGATTATCACTTATTTTCTCCGTTACTGTAAGACCACTGGAGATCCCTTCACCAAGTTTAAAGGCCGGGGGTGAGGATAATGCAAGGGCAGTAATACTGGCGGCTGCTAATCTGCTTGCTGTTCAGAATATGACTTGGGACCTGCGGTTTACTGACTCCTGAACAATAACTTCTCAGCATCGCTTGAAGGGAGGGGTACCAAGCAGGAGAAATGAATGTAGGAGGGAGGGAGGGAGGGAAGGTGAGGGGGTGGAAGAATGAGCCTGCTTTACTGAATAATGAGGGGAATGAAAATGAATGAGAAAAGAGAGAGAAAAGCTGGTTTAAATATTTAATCTCTCTTGCATTTGCTTTTTTAGAGGAGACAAAAGCCTTGGAACATCTTTTGTCTTGAACTAATTCTGACCAAAGCTGAATGGCATGCAAATGTCATTTCTGTCATTTTCCTTAAGGCAGAGAGAAATAGATTGGTCCTGCTGCATCAGCTCGTCACATCAGTCTCTGTCTCCAGCTGTGGCCAGTACTTGGGGCTGCAGAAGGTGTAAAAGACTAATGACAGTGACGCTTATGCCTCATGAGCCCATGCTGTCATAGATCCTGGTGCTGTGGTGATCACTGTGTGTGTGCATCTCCGGGAAGAGGTGGCCCCTTGACCCCGATGAGGAAGCTGTCAGTTTGGTCTGGGAAGGCTGCACTCCTCTACAGAGAGCAGGAAACTCCTCTGAGGGGTCTGCTCTGAGGCAGTTGCCAGTTTGTGCATCCTACCAGAGAGCAAGTCACTTCATTTTTGGTCTTCACCTGTGCTTGGAGTCAGGCAGTTAGTGCTAGGCAAGTCAGTAGTATTTTTCTCTTCTCCCTCCCTGTTCATCAGTACATCTTTCTACACAGCCTCTCCCTGCAACATCTCTCTCCATCTTCCTTTGACTCCCCCTCTCAGATCTTGCTTCTCTGTTCACCCATAGTCTAAGCAGAGCCAAAATAAGCACAGCTGTCTCGTCAGCCAACAACAGCTGCACTCTCTGCAACATCTTCTGCAGCTGAGGCAGCCCTGTGGATGAGCCAGCAGGACCCACAGGCCAGCCTCAGAGACAACAGCTACCCATGTTAATGAGACTTTGCCTCTGAGTCAGTATATAGAGTGAAGTCATTTGCCTTCAGTTGGTCCTATATAAACCATGCTGTTCAGCTGATATTAGCCATCTGCCACATGTTTCATTTCTCTTGTGTCTCTTACACTTGATGCCCAGACTGGAGGACTGCACCACAAGCCATGGCCAGTGTCACCCAGAGAGGTATGCACAGCTCCCCATAATGGTGGTTGTTCTCTATAGTCACAGCCTGTAATCCTCTGTCTGCTTTAGCCACCTAGAACCCTATCTAGACTAATTGTTGAGGTTTGCTTTATAAATTGAGGGAGTAGGAAATGCCTCCAAAGAGCAATTCATTGTATGACTGGCTTTTAAATTGCCAATATCTGTAAGGTCTAAGAAAGGCTGATAGTCTCTGATTAGCTAGAGAAAAATGCTGAGATGGGAAACATTTTCTCTTATCTGACAACGGCTTTGAGTCCTTCCACTGGGACCTACCTTCGTATGACAGAGGAATGACAGCAATTGTGCTTACAGGAAACAATATCACAGCACTACAAATCAATGTAACTTTAGTTTCCTTGCTCACTTTTGTGACTTCATGGTCTGGATCACTACTTATATGTCTAATGTACTTGTAAGGCCTTCATTATCACAATAGGAGGGCACCACATCATCTCTGATCTATTTATTCCTTTTGTAACCCTAAAAGCAAAGAGGCACTGTCATCCTGACTTCTCAGATGGAGGTAAGTACAGAAAAGAATTAAACTGACTTCTCCACAAGGGTCCCTCAGGAAGTCTTGGAGAAGCAGGGAATTTTGATCTCTGGTCTCCTGAGCACTGAGGGAAGGCATGAAATCCTGGCCTTTTGTCAACTCTTGAATTGCAAACACACTGGAAAAAGACAGCTAGCAAACAAAAAAACTACAGCAACAGCCCTCAAGCAGTTTGAAGAGTTGAAGTTAACAATTATCTTTCAAAGGCTTACTTCAACAGTAATTTATTCTACTAGCCATTTGCTGAGAGATCAGATAAAGCCAAGGTGCCTAGTCAAGTACATTCCTATTTTGATATAACTTGAGAAACTTGATTGGCTAATTTAAATGCTGGAGAAGATAGCTCAGTCAGCATGTGGGCTTGGTGAAGCCAGCTAGGCTGGTTTACAAAAGGACTTGAGCAGGTTGAGATCCCAGGCTTATGAAATGGTCTCTACGATGGCTACAGTTTTTTTTTTTGTTTTTTTTTTGTTTTTCTGGCAGAGAACTTGTACACTCCTGTATGTGAGCTATATGGATGAAAGTGGAGTTTATTCTCTGTTTATTCTCTGTTAGCCTGTATACAGGACTTGACCTCTTGGCTAATGCTGCCAGCAGCAATTACTCCCATGGCAATGATCCTGGGATGCAGGTCCCTTTCTGTTTGGATCTAAGCTACATATACAGTTGACCAGGCACCAGAAGACGGCAGCTCTTGGTCCACACTGATCCAGGTTTGATCTAAATCAATGACTTAGCAAGGAAAAACATCATATCTTATTTCAAAAAATTGTCTGACTTCTTTTTTCACTTTTTTCACCAAACCCAAACATATCCATTATTACCCAAATCTAATTTAGTTTTTATTTATTTAAATATTAATAAAATTATAGGAGTTACAGAGCGTTCTTATTTCTTAATCAAAACCAACCAGCATTCCTAACATAATGTCATGGAGGTTGAGGGAACAGGAGAAAATATCCCATAAGGCAAAAGAATTACAGGAATCATGGACAGGAAGCCCTTACAGGGGAAATGAGTCAATCCACTTCTGTCTAACAGAAACTATTAGCACAGAAGTAAAGAGCTTTTAGAAACAGCTTATGAATTCACAGCTTGCAAAGTAAGTGAAGTCTCTGTCTCTGTTACACACATATACTAACTCACACATGCATACATGCACATCTCTGGTGGAAAGAAGGAGAATTTACAGTCTGGAACGCATATCAACTTTCTGTTTAAAGAAAAAAAGAAAAGATTTTTCAATAGGCACAGAATCCCACCCCCTCAGCACCCCTCCTTTCCCATCTGACACTGACTTCAAGGGAGGAGTTGAGCCAATTATCTGTGAGCCCTACAGAAGGAAAATCTGCAATTTGCCAGGAGTGAGAGCAAGAGAGAGAAAGGCAGGGAGGGAAGAAGAAATAATTAATTGGTAAATGTAAAGGAAAAGCCCCTTTTCATCTAGAAAGAGAACACTTTTAAACAAATCTCAGATCAGAAGAAAAGCAGCTAGTGGCAGGAGGAGTGCCAAGTAAGACTTGGTGAAGTGTAGGTTTAGTCCCACTGCCATAGACGATTTCCATGCTCCCAGTGATTTTTCCCCATAGGGTTTGAGGCAGCTTAAGAGGCAGAGTGGGCCAAACAGCTGCACCCACGATCCTGTACAACTAGGTGTCGCTCCAGAGACCCTTTCCACCCAGCAGAGCCTGTGAAGCGCAACTTGCAAGAAAAGCCAGTGGGAGTGGGAGTGCTCTGCATCTCCTCTTGAACTGAGGCTGTCAGGAGAGGAGCTCATCTCATCAGAGGGAACAGCTATCTCTGGTTCTGCGACCCTTCTTTGGCCCATGTCAATCGTCTGATCCAGTAATTACCATCCATGGGGGACTGTCCCCTGGAGTTCTGCAGTCCTTTCCAATCCTGCTAAGGTCCCAGAAAATACTGGTGAAGAACTAAGCCCAGAGCAGCAACGTGGGATACAGAGAACGACAATCTTTCACAGCAGCAGCCACTCCTGATTAAAATCATCAGCTTCATCAGACTACACCAAAACCCAGGACTTCTCCTCCAAAGAAAAAGAGGTAAGAAAGCAGCATGCAGTTTGGGATAACAGTCAGAAAAAAACATCCCACAGGAGTGATATCTGTGTGCATGAAAATTCAGGGGATGCTAGCAGTGACTAAGAAGTGGCAGGTCTGTTATGCACAGTACAGTTTGCTTCTGCCTATATCTTTTTTAGCTGGATGCAGTGAATTACGCGGAGACCGTAAACAGAAATGCAAACAATAGATGAAGACTGTGGAGCACAAGAGAGGTGATTAAAAAGTCTGTTAACGGATAGGGAAGGGTAGGGAACATACCCTGATGTCATGACATCCCATGATAGGAGGATCAAAAATTAAGGTATAAAAGCTCTAGGTAGGTCGGAAAAAGAATCTATTCCCTAGATACCTCCATCTAGGTGTTCAGGATCAAATCTGTCAGTACCTCACTGCAATTTAGACTAGCACTCTTCAGAGCATGCAAAAGCAGGTGTCTTGTCATTCAGTCTGAAGTGTGCCCGCAAACCAAGCTGTAGCGGTTAGTAGGTAGAAGGAGACACACAGTCAAAAAAAGGGCTTTAATGCTGATTTGGGAGAGCTATTTCAGCACTCTCTGTGTGCCTGAGCCTTCTCCTTTATTAAGTGGAGATAATATTCATTGCCTGCATTTCTATGACATTTTGAAATCTTTGTGAAATAAAATACTAATGTAAAGATTCTACCATTAAGCCAGTGCATAAATCGAAAGGTACCACTGGGAAATAATCTATACTCTAAGCATTTAATAAACTGCAAGGAAAAGATGTAGATTAAAGCCAGCTGGAGGTTGTTTGTCTCCTCATTCTCTTCAGATTGATTTTGCTTTATTTAGTACATGAACATGTGGTGTCTTTCTATTTCCTTTCTTCTGTCTTTAATCTTTTTCAATGTATGAGTCCCCTGTGCCCCCCCCCCCCCACCTCACCCAAGGTATGAGAGTTGAAATTCCTCTCCATTTCAGAGGAAGAAAGAAGAAAGATTTTATGGAACTAGAGAGAAATTGGAATGGGAGGATAAGAAGAGGGAGCACAAAACACAAAAATAAGCTCCTGGTTCAACAGCACACTTTGAATCAAATTCGCAGCAGAAGTGATGAGATGGATAGCAACTCTAGGAATCAAGGTGCTGAAAAGCATTTTTTAACTCCACGTGAAATGAAATGCAGTCAGGAAAGCACAGGAATCTTCTTGACTGAATGCCTTGACAGATAGATGAGGGCAGCATAAAGTGGCTATTTAATACCTTAAATTTTGGATGCCCTCACACCCCTTCTTCCTCCTCGGTGTGTGCACTTCTTTAGGTCCAAGTGTCCTGAAACAAACACACCTCTGTGCATAAAGTTTTGTTTTTGATGGGTCTGGGAGGTAGTGTGATTTAGTGACCAGAAATGCAAGGGTGAAGAAAGGTAGAAAGCAGAAAGAGTTTGTACAGTAGGAGTCCTGGAGTCTGTTCATGGTCCTCATTTGTATGATGCTGGGTGGTCCCTCAGCTTCCCTGTGCCTTACTCTCCCCATCTGTGGATCAGTGATGGTGTCATTTCTTTATTTATTAAAGGTGCAAAAATAACCTTCCAAGCAGGTGCAATGACACAGTTCGTCTCCTTTGCTATGTGATGGGTATTTCTCTAACTGTTAGTAGCTCAGCACTTACCTGTCAATCACTAGTATAATTTAGAGGATTCTGGCTTGTAAAGGTGCTGACCAGGATCAGGTCCCCCATTTGTGCACGTTCTGTACAAGACAGGTAAGATGCTTGCTTAAAAAGCATATCCATGTTTACTCTCAGATGCTCCTGTAGGAAGCTGTACAAAACTGATCCTCAGCAGGTGTGAATTAATATAGTCCACTTGTATTCATGCAGCTATAGCCGTTCAATCCGGTTTGAAGAGCTGACACGTTTTTAAATTCTGAACCTGGGCCATAGAGAAGTTTGAGGATTTTCTCACAAAATCTATTTCCCTGCTTTTCTCTGTCTGTTAAATAAAGCTCAAGGGAGTGAAGAAGATCTCCTAAAGCAGCTCTGTCACCACTTGACTGGCCCATGGAAGCAAGACAGTACTGGACTGGCTATGAGGGAAAGGACAGAGCCAGTGGACACGACAGTGTTGTTTCAGAGACAAAATTTGGCATTTCTGCACTGATGATGTGTCCTGTTCTAAACAAAATATAGAGTCCAGTCCAAATACTAGTTGTACTCCTTGCTGTCTGTCCTGCTATAGCATTCCCACCTACAGTGCCAGGCCCATGCTTCTGTGTCTGTTTGTGTCTGTGTGTGTCCAAGCATGATTTGACATTATGGTTGGCCTCTAATATTGTACTGTACTCTCCTCGAATTTAATTTAGAGTGTAAGTTTCCCTAGGGAAAACATTGCATTTTCTTCTGTGCTTTATATAGGGCTGAACGTGCTGCCAGTGTGCAGCAAACGATAGCAATAATAATAAATAATAATATTTTGCTGTTGCCTTGGGCTATTGCACAGCACTTGTAAGGATGCTGGCTCAGAATTCCAGAGACTTCTTTATTTAGCACTGGCTGTATCTTTACTTCTGCTTTGATACTTAGAAAACGTTAAACAAAGTAAAAGATTTTAAGCTTTTGACTCAGATAAGCGCCAGCTACATAAAAGCTTGGGAGATAAAATCTGCTCAAGGGAAAAATAGGAGTCCAAATCTGGACTGAGAAATGATCTTCCAGTGTACACAGAGCACTCAAATTGTAATATTAAATAAACAACACCTAAGTTAAATAAGCAACATAGTGGGAACTTGATTTTTCTTTAATAAGATTCTACTAACTAAAATAAACTCTGTCCAAAATGTGCTTTCTTTGCTGTAACAGTTAGCTTTCCACACACTGGAGCTGTATTTTTCTTTTCAGGGCACAATGCATTTACACTTGTATGTGAAAAATGGCTATTCAATCCTCATTTCATCTTTTCTTTCCTATCAAAGTCTCCTCTACCTACATCAAAATGTGATCTCCAAGGTCCTGAGACTCATTTTACTTGTCAGAGGTTGGAAATACTGTTTGATGGTTTCATAAGACGGCTGTCCTCCTTCTTTTCTCCTGCCTGTACTTAGCACCTCAAGGACTGTGATACTCAGAACAGTGATGTATGTATAAAGACTGAAACTCCCATGAAATGGGCATTTCTGCAGAGCTGTCCACTGCCAGCTATCCTGTCAAGGCAATGGTATTTGAAATACTGATAGTTTGTTCATAGGGAGTTCCCATCCAAACAGTCAGATTAAAATCTGGTTTGCAAAAGGTTATTGAAGGCGCAGATCTTTGAATTTATCATCAGCCAATGCTATTTTGTGCTTCCAACTCCCTGCACTGGCAATATAGGCTGTGTGGGACTGGTTGTTTAAAGTTACTGAGATGTCTAGCTCCCGCTAATGTCAAGCATGTTTCTTGTACTCTGATTTCTGGTTGGCCTCAGAAAATTAGTATCACAAACAGTTCCTGTTTAGGACCCAAAGTGGTTCATATCCTAATGGTAGCTGCAGTGGGTGAAACATATTGGGAAATCTGACCTCTGTCTTTATGCATCTAAAGGCGAAGCAAGCTCTACTGAAAAATCTGGTAGTGTCTAAGTGACACAGATGGTGGGAGGAAACCTGGTGCCCAAGTTGAAGCGCAGCTGATAATGTTAGCCCTTAATGTTTAACGAAAATGGCAGAATACAATTCAAAAACATAATCTTTTCGGTGTAAATGTCTTCATTTTGATATGACTTTAAACAACAAACAAACCAGCCACTCCCTGGAAACAAGACTAAAGAAAATGAAGTCATTTCCAGTGAAAAGATTCTTTATGGACCATTGATCTGCTAACCAGAACCAGGCATTCTGCTTTACACAATGGAGCGATACAGGGTGCTCTTTGATAGGCTTGTGCTAAGGAGCTACTCTGCTCTCCTCCATCTAGTTTCTAGTCTTTCCTCTAACTCTGCCATTTTCTCTTTCAGGAGCAAGCAATGATGAAGACCATGTCCAGTGGAAACTGCACCCTGAACGTGCCAGCCAAGAACTCATACCGCATGGTAGTTCTGGGAGCGTCCAGGGTAGGCAAAAGCTCCATTGTCTCACGCTTTCTCAATGGCCGGTTTGAGGACCAGTACACTCCCACCATTGAGGATTTTCATCGCAAGGTCTACAACATCCGGGGAGACATGTATCAGCTGGACATCCTGGACACCTCTGGGAATCACCCTTTCCCTGCTATGAGGAGACTTTCTATCCTGACAGGTGAGAAAGTGGAGGAAAGTTTGCAGATGGAGAACGGTGAGTGAAAGATAGTAACAACAGACATTAGCTTGAAAACTGTAGCCTTAAGATGACTGTTTTTTGGTAATAAGAAGCATTTGGGAGGTAGCTAAAGGGATCATTGGTTCTTGTTGCAACACACACCTCTCTTGAGAGTTACTTCCTGGCTGAGATGCTCCAGATGCTGTAGGAAGTGCATTACCCACAGAGGAGTTCACTGAATGAAATTCTGAAATTGGCATTTCCCACCTAGTTTGTTTCCCTCCTCTGCTACCATCCCCTCCTGCTTCCAGTATTTTTTATTGTAGTCACAAATGAATGGTTGAGTAAAACGTCATAGGCATAAAGAGCAGCAAGGGGCAAAAGAAGCCTGTCATTACAAGACACAAGCAGTGAAGAGCAAATGTAAAATGCAGAGAAAAGGAATTCAAACCAGGAAAAGCTCAAAGACTTTTTTCTCCAGCCTGATTCCTTTGATGTGAAATTCCAGTGAAAAGATCACTCTAAGATTGTGTCTACTTTTACCCTTTCTCCTTAGCCTATAGTTAACCAAATGAATTAGAGAGGAAAAAGGGAAAATGGTAGGCTTATTTTACATGTTCTCATTGTCAAGCAGTTCCTGTCGTGAGCTAATATATTCTTTAACTGAAAGTGTCACTGAAAGTGACAGTGGAGGTGTATTCAGCCACAGCTTGCAGAAAACCTGCTTTCTGGACCTGCTATCTACACTTCTAGCTAGCCAGTGAAACACGAGGTTCACATCAGACCAGGCTGCAGTCTGTGTTGTATGGAGTCCTAGTGCTGGTTTCTGGGGTGGGGATACAGCTTTGTCCCTGAAAGCTCTCTTAGCACGTTCCACATGAATGCCATTCGACAGGCAATGATTTGCACTATTTTATATTTGCAAAATGAATAGTAAGTCAGGAAACGTCAAAAGGAAATGCCAGGGGATCTGTGTCATTTATATATTTCTTTTTTTCCCACTGTTTTTCTCTTGAGCAAAGCGCTGAACGCTGGAAAACCTCTCAAGCCTGACTCAGGCATTCAGGACTGACTACATGTAAATCTTCTGTTCAGGTGTTGCTTCTTGTCTTATACAATCAAAAGGTCAAGGCTGAGTGGCTACTAGTTCTCCAGTCTTCCTAGTATCAGAACAGGCTGTTTTACAGAGAGATACAGATAAAAGGAAGAAAAAAGAAAAGCAATGCAGAGCTGAGACAGAAACTTTAAAAAAGACATTACAAATGGGCAACACCAGCAAGGCCAGTGCAACCTAGAAACACTTACTCAGTTACGCTAGAATTAGCATCACAGCCGTAAGTCATTTCCACAGCACTACAGAAAGGAGGAGGGAGTTGAATTAGAAGAAATGGAATTAAAGTACCTCAGAGTGAAGAGATTCAAAAGATATACAGGACCAAACAGAAAAATGTGGGTGAGGCAATGGTAACAGACTTAACACTTTCTCTGACAAAGGCAGGGATGAACAAACCTTTATGGCTTCCTTTTTCATTTGCAGGGGATGTTTTCATCCTGGTGTTCAGTTTGGACAACAGAGAATCCTTTGATGAGGTCAAGAGACTCCAGAAACAGATCCTTGAGGTCAAATCCTGCCTGAAGAACAAGACCAAGGAATCAGCTGACCTCCCCATGGTGATCTGTGGCAATAAGAATGACCACAGTGAAATCTTCCGCAAGGTGCGTTCAGATGAAGGTGAAAACCTTGTCTCCAGCGATGAAAATTGTGCTTACTTTGAAGTTTCAGCCAAGAAGAACACCAACGTGGATGAGATGTTCTACGTCCTGTTCAGCATGGCCAAGCTACCTCATGAGATGAGCCCTGCCCTCCACAGGAAAATCTCCATTCAGTACGGTGACACCTTCCAACAGAAATCCTTCCGAATGCGCCGAGTCAAGGAGATGGATGCCTATGGCATGATCTCTCCCTTTGCTCGCCGGCCGAGTGTTAACAGCGACCTGAAATATATCAAATCAAAAGTTCTCAGGGAAGGTCAGTCAAGGGAGAGGGAGAAATGCACTATCCAGTGAAGGCGACTATCGTTCTCTCTGAAGTCGTCATCAACATGTAGTGCCTTAAAGAAAAACAGTCTGCAGAAGCCCAGAATGGGCTCACTGGGTTCATCCAATCAAGAAAGCCCAGCATGGCAAAAGGATAATTCTTCCTGAGGAGTCTACTGAATCATGAATGTAAATAATATTGTTCTTGTAAATGACTGGGAAAAATCATATGCCTGATATGTGACTGCATTTCTTTCTTTGTAATGTAGTTCCTCTTTGTAGCCCTTTTTGTCCTTTGTTGCCCTTTTTGTCTAAAGAACACAGACTTGAGAAGTAAAGACATTTCAGCCTCATCCCTACAAAGAAAGTAGGTCAATAATGCACAGAAGGTATTAACAGCTACCCCAGTGTGCAGCTGTTGCTGACAGAGAGAGAGAGAGCGAGAGAGAGAGTGAGAGAGAGTGTTTGCATGCATGCGTGGAGCACTTCTTTACAAAAATTGGACTTACGTTTCTAAGGACAACAATCTTACTGAGGCTTCCTAGTTTGGGAGTGGACTCTGTATATAAACACATGATTCTAACTCACTTCTGAGGTAACCTGCATTCAGAAGGTCTTGATTTTATGTCTGCTAGGACAGCTGTAAAATGACATTAACAAGAATGTTGTTTGTATTATTGATTTTGTTTTGGGTTTGGTTTTTTATTGTCTGGGGGTGGTTTCCTAGCAAAATCAGATGGCAAGTGTGTTTGAAAAGTGTCTAATATTTAGAAGTAGAAGGTGTATTTCAGCTGTAAATCTAAATAATATGTACATTGACTGAAAGTGAAATTGTACAGTAAAAAGCCAATACATTTGACTGCTTTGCAAGCCTGGTGTGGTATTGTTTCTCACAGCAGTCACACGGACTCTGAACACCTTCGTACAAATGCCACCCTTTGCCTTGCTGGCCACCGGAGGAACCATTCTGCCTGCTTGTGACAGGTGGGGGCTAACCAGATTCATGTGTCGACTTAGACCGTTTCAGAGGCAGGGTTGAGTTTTCCTTCAAAATTAAGAACTGACTGGATGTGGCCTTTTGATCTGGGACCAGCTGCATCATATTTCTTCTGTTAACATCATTTTGTTGATGATTTTACTTGATGTCTGACGAAGATTGCCTTGATGGAAACCTTTGCACTACAGAAGTCCTTCAGAATAGAAGCTTTGTGCTAGCTGTCTAAATAGGGCTGAACTGGTCAAATAAACCTGGGACTGTCATTCACTTCTTCCCTTTCTCAGTCTAGTCCAGCCTCCCCTGTCTTAAGCTCTCTCCCTATCCTGTCTCTGTCTTTATTGCTCGATATGCTATAGTCTCCTATATACCCTCAAAGCCAAATATATTCTCTCAGATATGAGCTTGCTGCTCTTGCTGATGGGAATGAGAGGCGTGCATGCATAACTGTGGGCAGAGCATAGCTCCTGGACTGTACATAACAGTAGAGTATATATGTTATATATACCTCAGAAGATCATTTGGATATTCTTGTCCCTCCGTCACCATCAAATTCTGTCCTTGGCTCTATCTGTCTTGCTGCATCCTGGTCAGAGCTGTGACCCAACTCATTCTGTAATCTGACAGAAAACCAAGAATGATGAATGTCTGTGAAAATTAGCCTCTAGGAGTCAAAATCCTATCATCACTTTTCAGCTCCACTCTTTATTGGTACTGTATATTGACTGGTAAAATACACTGTTCTTTTGTCCCTGGTGCCAGGGCAACTCCTTTCTGATCATTTCCCCTTCCCTATCTATAAATATGTACACTGTTTATGATTAAATCTGTCTTATTTATCAGCTGTGTCCTAGTCTGTTTTTACTTTCTCCAAGAACAGCGAAGAAAGTCCTAGGATTTTTTTGTGGTAAGGGGGAAAGTGCAGCAGAGCAAGTAAGTTCTAAGCTGAGAGCCCTGATGAGACAGTAAGTTCTGGAGGAGCATTTTATGTCTTCCAGACTCCAGAGGCTTGACAGTGGCCTTGTTGGGACCGAGCTGTGTCTATATCTATATGTCTATATTTATATTTATCTATATATACAGATATCTTCCCAAGCAGAAGCAGACAGCTACTCTTCCCCATGCTGCCTCTGGCACAAGAGAACATCAATTCTTACCTCCTGAACAGGGCCAGTCCGCTCATCCCTGCTGGGCTTTAACGTAGTCTCTGTAGAGACATCACCATTACTGTCATCAGTCTCTCGATCGCACCATCTGCACCTCTCTAAGGTGTGCGAGCCTTGGCTGCATAAAGCAGTCTGCTATTGAAAGGCATTTATCTGGACTTTGCTTTGCAATGAGTTGTGAGCTGGAAGGCAGGCTAAAATCTGAACAACCCTGTTCGAACTGAAATGGAATAGAGGTGCTCACAGAGGATACAGGGCAGATGTCAAGGCACTTTTCAGGCCTAGGCATAGTATAAGCTTAATGTGGCTAATAATCACAGAATTGTTGAGGTGGGAAGGGACCTCTACAGACCATCTGGTCCAACCTTGATGGGCCAACCATCTGACCCTGCTCAAACAGGGTCACCTACAGCATGTCCCTGACTGTGCCAGTTGGGTGTTGAATATCTCTGAAGTTGAAGGCTCCACAGCCTCTCTGGGTAACCTGTTCCAGCGTTCAACAGCCATCACAGAGAAAAAGCATTATGTTCAGATATAATTTCCAGTGTTTCAATCTGTGGACAGTCAGCTGGGTAATCTGCTGGACTGCTTTTATTAGGGTTATTTTGTTCATTTCTATTACATGTGACTGTCTTTTCCAGCAAATTCCCCTCTTGTGTCTCACCTTCCTGGCCCTAGTGAGCCGTAGAGGGTTTTGAGCTGTCAGGGAAAATCCTGATGGGAGAGGAGAAATGAAACCTCAGCACTTAGCAGGATGTATCACGCAGCAGCTTAACAACGTGCGTCTTACCTTTCCTCTTTGTCCAGAAGAGAAAGAATGGATCTTCCTTATGTAGCTCATAAGAGGAAGACATGAGCCTTGGCCCTGGTGAAGAATCTTTGGAAAGGGTAGGGGCACCACATCCACATTTGGTGGGAAAGCAGAGGTGAAAGAGAGCAGCACCAGGGACCAATTCAGTATACACATTGAGGCCAAGGTAGTGCATCTTGACAGAGATGCCCTGCAGTTTGCTACAAGGCTAGTGCTAACCTTCGTTTATCTACTAAGTAGCTTCCTCTCTAGTCAGCTTGCCAAGTAGGAGAAATATGAATTTAAAACAGGTGCAAAAATCCAGTCACCCTGTTGATCTAAGAGCAGTCCAATAAACAAACACTTTGTGCTCAAGATGCTGCTGCAACATTCTGCTTCCCTACTATCCCCCTGAGCACATGTGCACCTCCCTACAGACTTTCCATCCAAGGGTATGACTCTTGATTGTGCCCATGGTCCAGCACCGGGACTCAAGTGCTAAAGACACCCAGGCTAGAGACTGTGAAAATGGACAGAGAATGGCACGAGCACTGGTCACCACTTGGATTAACAGGCTCCAGGAAGCTAGAGGAGAGTTTCTCGCACTACAGCTCATGATGTGCTGCATTATTGAGCCTACAGCAGCTCTCCTTGGCCTGCTGGATAAAGCTAAGGTTCCTAAGTGCCTTCAAAATCACTAATATTCTGTCCTGGTTTTACAACATTGACCTTAAAATTATTTTCCCCAGTGTCCTTCTGTCTCCATAAAGACATCAGCTTTCCTCATCCTTCCTTATCTTCCCATTCCTGTCTCTTCTGCCATGCTGGGCATAAAGTCATCGGGCATGGAAATATAACACTGCAGGGAGGGTGAGCGGGGCAAGATTTGGAGTGGCCAAAGGCCAAGGAGTGGGTATTAACAGAGATATACTAGATCTGCAGGAAGGGCAGTGAGCCCCAGCCTCAGTGTTCTTCCCAGGGCCTGACTTGGCTTACCACATGCTCAGCAGCAGAAGCATCTGAGAAACAGGCTGGAAGTGAGATGAAGCAGTGCTACAGACATCCGCAGAAACAAATGAAAATAAGCAGGTAATCTTATTAAAACAATACTAGTCTTTTCTCTACATTTTGTTACTGATGACAACTGCTTTTTAAGTTAGATTATCAGGCTCCTGAGGACAGAGACTCTCACATTTATTGTTTTGCTTTTATTATATCATTACAGTTATTCTATTAATATTCATATATTATTTGGGGTCTAAAAGTGCTTACAGCCCCTGTAACAGACAGTATGTGTCTCTGTTGTTTATTCACAGCTAGTAGCTATTAAAAGCCAGTGAAAAAGGCTGGGAATGGAAAACAAAGAGGAGGGCTACCAGTTTGTCTGCAGAGGGGGCACAAAGGCAGCAAAGAAAAAAGGACACTGTTGAATTGTTTCTTCCCTGCTAACCACAGAGCATATCTAGCTGTAAGACAGAGCAGAGAAGACCTTTATGGGAACCTTGTAGTATGCATAGAGTTTGGGAGACCCTGAAAGGAGCAAAAGCAGACACGTAGCCAGGCCAAAGAAGCAGTGAAAAGACAGGCGATATTTTTCCCCCCATGGGGATTCAGGGGGGCTGCACAGAACTTATAACCCAAGAAGCCACCAGAATGAACTTGAATGAGGCAAGTCTGTAGCAAGAGATCCAACCTGCAAAGATGCTGCGAGCAGTTGGACAGGTTTGCTCATAAACCATATACTTTTAGTTGGTCTTACCTAGCATAATTAAGTTGCTTTATTTCAACCTTGTTCTACATTAAAGTCTGTAAAACCCAACATTAGTGATCCAAAGCCTTGCTGACATTTTTGGTGTATTCACTTCCAGGACAAGAAAGGTACGTCTGCCTGACTTAGGATCAATCATGGCCCTGAAACAAGACAGGGCTGAGATTTATTTTGAACATTGCTCTACACAGTCCTGAAGAATTTGCAACTCAACATATTCTAGGAGTTACTATAAATAATGAGGAAAATCTAATTAACCCACAGGGTCAGTACAAATCAGGAAGGAAATGGCGGTCATAGTGAATTAAGGAACAAATAAATGGAGGGTGGGAAGGGCAGAGTGAAAGCCTGTTTTGACATCCAGAGGACTAAATTAGGCTTCTGTTCTGAAGGATCCCCGGGAGGACTGCTGCCACCAGGCTTGCCTGCCATTGGAGACAAGGTTTCAGCCCTCTCATGGTGTAGTCTCACAAAGACCATCGTCTCCTTGAGACCCCAGCATGCAGTAGGTCAGATTATCTGAGCGGCCAAAGGGTTTGTCACCACCACAACGGACAAGTAGGAAATGGAGGGATAATTTTTAAAATGGTAGCAGAAGAGAAAAGAACTTCAGAAATGAGCTCAGCAAGGTGGCATGGCTATAGGCAGCAGGTTGGGTAAAGAGGAGGAAAGCCATTGAGGTGAAGTCTTGATGAAAGACAGAGCAGTGAAGTCTAGCAGTCAGCTGAAGACATAAAAGAGCAGGTGCTATTTGGTCCTTTAAGTAGCACGAGAAGCACTTTGGGATGTCTTCGGCACTCTGGATGGTTCAGAGACCTTCCACTGGTACCTGCATGTGCAGAATGCCCCAGAGGACGTCCCGTGGTGGGAACCCACAGCATGGCAAAGTCCTGGCTGGGCTCTAGGCTATGAAATGTACCCTTCATGCTTATTTCATCTTTCTCCACCCCCAGGTCAAATCTGAAGATATTTTATTTAGCCATTTTTGTCCTTCTTCAAGCATTAACCTCCATTTATGCCTATGTAGGACCCACCCCTGCCTTCTGTTGCATCTTTTGCTGTCTTAGTTTTATCATCTTTCTCCACTCCGTATTGCTGGCTATATTGCTAGCCCTGTCCCAGTACCTTGGTCAGAGTAGAGGGTTATAGGCAGAGGTGCTTTAGAGCTAAATAAGCGATGAGTATTTGATTTGATATCACTGTTACCCTTGGGTTTTTTATTAGCATTATTGTTTCTGTAAAAATACATGGTGGCAGGTCCAGATTAAAGGGTATCCTTAGCAAAAGACATAAAACGTGGCATAATGTACATTTCCCCACTGGTTCCTATAGCAACAGTCTTTTCTCTGCACTCACAAAGAGCAGAGAATTTGCAGTGGCGGGGAGAAACAGTGAATCTGCCCTAGATCTTTCACCATTGAGTCCTCATGGGAAGTTCTCCACTCTTCAGTTTCCTTGGCATGAAGAAACGAATACCACCAGACACTCAATATGTCTGATGATAAAGCTGTGGGATGGAAATGCTATCATAGATAAGAAAGTAATTTCCATAAAGCAATTGTAAACTGGTGCATTGCTCCCGGCACGGTAACTGCCTAGGAGAATACACACCTCAAACTGCTATAATCCCAGCTTCAGTACTCAGGTTTGGTTAGAGCTATGAGCCTTGCCTGACTTTTCTCTTCCCTATGTCTTTACAGACCACCATTTGGTAGGATCAGAGCCTAAAACTTCCCAGAGAAACATTTCCTGTTGCTCTTATGAAAATATCCTTGCCCCTACCATCAGCAGCCATCCACAGTGAGTAGAACTGCCATGAGTCCCAGGCACCACATTCCTAGAAAGAAAGTTATTGACAGTATGGAGGGAAGCCAAACACCAGCAAAAAAGAAAAAAAAAAAAGGAGGTTTGGCTTGAGTAAGCCTTAAGAAAAGTCTAAAAGGGATAATTCTGCGCCATGTAGATAAACAAAGTTTATCTACAACAGAGGGATGTTTATCAACAAAGTGTAGAGGCGAGGGCCTGAAAACCCCTAGGTGTGATTGAAAGGTGGAGATGACAACTGAGACAACACATTATTTAGAACTGGACAGTGGGAATATCTCAGCGGGAACA